TTTTTTTTTTTTTCAGTGTTGGAGATTAAACCCTGGACCTTGTACATACTAGGCAAGGGTTCTAATAGGGAGATATATCCCTAGTCTGACAATTCCAGTTCGAGCAAAATACCTGGTGATTCTTCATTTCTTCTTCTCTCCTTTGCTGAAGTTGCTTCAATTGCACTTGGAGCTGATTCTCCACCTGCCTCTGTTTGTCCAGGACTTCCTGGTAACGCTCCTTCAACAGGGTTCTCTCTGTCATCATTTTGTCCTATTGGGACCAACACAGGAAAAGTTTACTTCCCACTTTAATTACAAAAAACATTCACCATGTGCCTGTCCAAGACATTATGTACAGCTCTATAGCTACACTGTCCAACAGTATAGTCACTAGCTATATAAGGCTATGTAACTTAAAATGAATTAAAATATGATAATATAGAAAAATACAGGCCCTCAGTTGCACAGCTAAATCTGAAGTACTCAAAAGGCACGTGCAACTAATAGTTATCACATCATGTAGACACAGAACATTAAAAACAGATACAGAACATTTCCATCTCTACAGACAGTTCTATTACACAATATTACTCTTAAGATATGGGTTAGAAACCTACAGCATATGGGGCAAATTCAGCCACTGCCTATTTTTTTTAAATAACAGTTTTATTGAGCTCGGCCCAGTAGTACACACCCAGACAGCAGGATCCCAAGTTTGAGCCTAGCCTGGGCAACTTGGCAGACTCTGTCTCAAAATAAAAATTAAAAGGAGGCAGGGCTTGGGGATGTAGCTCAGTGCAAATGCCCTGGTTTCAAGCCCCCTACTGCAACCACAAAACAAAACACTTCCACTGGAGCACAGCCATCCATACGGTTTCCAGGCTGCTTTCACACGACAATGGAAGAATGGAATGCCCAGACCAGGTACTACAGAGTCCACAGAACTTGAAATATTTCCTAGCTAATCCCTTTACAGAAAACATTTGTGGGCTGGTGAGATGGCTCAGTGGTCTAAAGTACCTACTTAGAACAAGCTTAGCAAAGCACAGGGACCGCGGTTCAATCCCCCAGCACCACATGCCAGCCAGCCCCGCCCCCTGGTGGGCTGAGCTGGCCACACACACACATCAATAAATAAATAAAAAAATTAAAAATATAAATGAAGAAATAAAGAAACCAACCAACAACAAATGTTGGAGAGGCTGTGGGGAAAAGGGAACCCTTCTCCACTGCTGGTGGGAGTGTAGACTGGTGCAACCATTATGGAAATCAGTGTGGAGACTCCTTAAAAAACTAGGACTGGAAATCCCATTGAAGCCTGCTATCCCCTGGGAATTTTGGAATTTTCCAAAATTTCTGGGAATTTTCCTGGAGGAACTGAAAGCGTCATATCATAGTGATATATGCATACCTATGTTTATAGCAGCACAATTTGTGATAGCCAGATCCTGGAAACAATCAAGATGCCTGTCACGTGTGGAATGGTTGAAAAAGATGTGGTACTTTTATGTAATGGAGTATTACTCAGCTATAACGAATGATAAACTCAAAAAAAGAAAAAAAAGAAAAGAATGATAAACTCGAAGCCTTCATATTTAAGTGGATGCCACTTGAAGATATACTCATAAATGAAATAAACCAGACCCACACCTGTAAATACCGTATTGTCTCCCTAGTATAAGGACTTAAAAGAGGAATTACATATAGAAAGTTACAACACAAATAAAAGGAAAGCGAGAACTTGAGGATTAGACAATGAGAAGTGGGCAAGAAAAAAAGCTGAGAAACATGACAGGGGCAAAGCCATGCATTTGTACGCACGAGATGGCTGGGGCAGTGATCCTGGGGGACATCAGCAGGTTTTTGAGACTCACGGTTGGCTGGTGAGATTCTCACCCTGACTAATTCTATATGCTGGTGCCCGTGAGCCAGGCGGCTGCACTGAGGATGGCGATGTGTAATAGAGGGGTCACGCTTGGAGTGCCTGCCATCCTGGTCTTCTAAATATGTACTTCTTGTCATGACATACCACTTATTGCCATAATATCTCTCAAGTAAATGCTTTTTTTTTCCCCAAGGGTAATAAATTGAAAAAAAAAAGACACAAGAATAAGAAAAAAAAGGTCACAGGTCTGTCCTGTTACAATTCTGTATATGGTTAGATTTCCAAATTTCTTTGTAAAAATATGTTAATGCTTATTTCTACTTTTATAAAATTATTTTTCATTCAAAAAAAGATATTTACAAAAAAAACCAAAAAACAAAAAACGAAAAAGATATTTTTCCTTTGACCTTTTCTTTGTTCTGAATACTGTCATGCAGATACTATATACAATTCCTCATTTAGTGACCAATGTATTTACTTAAGGAAATTAATGAGATATCCCTTGAAGTATACATAAATCTAAGTACTTGACTGACCAAAAAAACAGTCAGCCTAAACTACATACCTCAACACTGTCTCAAAAAAATGAAAAGAAAAAAAAAAAACCAAAAAGAAAGTCATTACATGTGAATACTATAGTCATAAAAACAAGCTCTCTAGATAATGTTTTTGTTTTGGCGGAACCGGGGATTGAATTCAGGCCCTTGCACTTGCCAAGCGAGCACTTACTCTACTGAGCCATCTCTCCAGCCCCTCTCCAGATAATTGAGCTTTGAGAAAAACTAATCCTCATCCATGTCTGAAGTGTGATGACAGCTCCCTGTACAGCTGATTTCTTATCATTACAAATTTATGATCCTGAGCTCTACAGATATCTCTTAATAGAGTTGTGGAGATAGCTCAGTAGAATAAGCGCTTGCCTGGCAAGTGCAAGGGCCTGAGTTCAATCCCTGATTCCGCCAAAAAAATGAAGATATCTCTTAAGAGATCTTTAAACTCTGCAACTGGGAATGCGCATGTGTGCGCACACATGTGCATGTGGGCGTGCACGTGCAAGTGTGTCTGTGTGTGATGTACTGAGATGAGAAATCAAATTTTTGAAGATTCTGAGAGCCAACCTTCATCTAACAAAAGTTAAAGAATCAATAACTGAAATTACTAGATTAGAGGATTCCTTCTTTTTGTTTTTTGAGATGGGATCTCGCTATGCAGCCTAGGCTGTGCTTGAACTTACTAATTAACCCAGGTTGAATCCAAGATGCTCCTCCTGCTTCAGCCTCCCAAGTGCTGGGATGAGAGCCATGTACTACCATGTCCAGTTTATCAGTTTTTTTGTAAGTCAATATTCAGTTTGTCTTTTATTCTATTATTGTTGATTTTGTTACTATTGACAGGTTAAAACAGTTATTAACTGGTTTGTGCTTGTATGCCAGTATCTGGTTAGTGTTCGTGTCATCAACAACACTGTAGTTCATTTCTGAAGAATTGAGTACCAGGCCAACTATACTCCATCTTCTACTGCCACATTAATGGAAGTGGTCAGATTTGGGGACAGAGGGAAAGGCCTATTATTAATCCCATACTGAAAATCAGATGCTAACTAAAACATCTCCATATTATCAACAAGTCTTTGCACTATAACTGACCTGCAAATCTTAACATACACACACCCACACACCCCAGAAAAAAAACAAGAGGAAAAGGCAACACCACCTCTCAAAACTCCCCAAGTCCTCCAAAGATGATCCATGGGATACTGATGGGGACAAAACAAAAAACCAAACTGCTGAATTATGTGAAATAAAAGAGAAGACAGTAAGATCCGTAAGGTGTTCAAAAAACTCAAAGATGACATAACTAAAGAAATAATGAACTTAATTGTCAATGAGCTAAACAAAATTATATAAAACATACACGACTCACTTAGCAAAGAATTAGAGGCAATGAAAAGGTACCAAACAGAAAGCCAGAAGACAAGAAACTCTGTTTAAAGTCTGAGCAGCAGAAGTGACCAGTGTGGGAACAGAAGGCCAGGACTAGAAGACAGGGCTGATACTGGTGATCAATTACACAGAGATGTCTTAGAAACACAGGAACATGAAAAATAGATCCAACAGCTGCTAAGTGACATAAGACTAACCTAAGATGAACTAGAACTAGTGAAAAGTGGGCTGGGGAGATAGTTCAGTGGAATAAGTGCCTGCCTGGCAAGCACATGGCCCTGAGTTCAATCCCTGGTACCACCAAAAAAAAAAAGAAAGAAAAAAAAATTAGTGAAAAGTCAGAAGACAGCACAAATGACATAACAAACCTGTATATAGAATAGTGGAAAACTTTCTAAATGTGGGAAAAGAATTTAACATACAGACAGGTAAGTGAGGCATATAGAACTCGAAACAGCCAAGAGCAGAAAAGAACTTCACTATACATCATAGTCCAAATCTCAGAAGTCTAACACAAAGACAGAATCTTAAAATCTGTAGAGAAAAGCAACAAATCACTTACAAAGTAAACCTATTAGAATCATAGCAGCCAGCTGGGCATGGTGGCACACACCTGTAATCTCAGCACTTGGGAGGCTGAAGCAAGAGGACTGCAGCAAGTTCAAGGCAAGCCTGGGCTACAAAGTGAATTCCAGTCCAGCCTCAACTGCATAGTGAAATCCTGTCTCAAAAAGATTTAAAACAAAAAAGCCAACAACCTAGAATCACAGTAGCTTTCTCAACACAAACCTTAAAGGCCAGGAGACCTTGGAATAGTGTTTCAAGACCTAAAAGAAAGCAACTCCCAATGGAGACTGGCGTCCTGCAAAGCTATCTTTCAAAATTGGTAAAGAAATAAAGTCATTTTATAACTGTTATGGTATGTGTCTAGTCGTCTCCCTAAGCCCTCATGCAATCATAGAGTGGACTTCTAGACTTTGTGATTAATTGATGAGTTCAATCCCCCGGTACCACCAAAAAAAAAAAAAAAAAAAAAAAAATGATGATACAGTGCTGGGATCATGGGTGTGAGTCCTGTTGGGATTATGGGTGTAAATGCTGCTGGTATGGGCTGGTGGGATGGCTCAGTGGTCTGGAGCACCTACTTAGAACAAACTAAACCAAGCAGAGCACAGGGACCGCGGTTCGATCCCCCAGCACCACATGCCAGCCAGCCCCGCCCCCTGGTGGGCTGAGCTGGCCACACACACACAAAATAAATAAATAAATAAATAAAATTAAAAAAAAAAAAATGCTGCTGGTATTACTGGGCAAGAGTGCTGTACCTGGCCTGGGGCAGATAGCCTGAATGCCACACAAGGGAGACAGGCTTGTTCTCTGCTGCCATTACTGCTGCTACTCCTCCCATTTGCTCTACCTGTTTTGTTGTTTTCCGACACCATGAACCGCTGCCCTCTTCCATGAGCTGTTCTGCTTTGGAGCCCGCTGAGTATGGACTGAAACTCCCACTAACTGTGAGCTAAATAAATTTCTTTCCTTCATTTTGGGTGTTGGGTATTTTGTCCCAGCAACAAAAGAAAAGTAACTGAGACAATGACAAACAGCACCTTAGGAAACTCACTAAACTATCACGGCCCCAAAAAAATTCTCGAGGATATCCTACAAATAGACAGTGAAGCCAACAATGCCAAAAAGTGTAATGGCGTAAGTATACCAGGCAGGGTGAGCAAAAGGGGAAAAAGAATCAGCAACAGGAATAAGGGAAGACCCAGTCAATACCTTTCACTAATAGCTCTCACTGTGATTTATTTATTCATGTACTTAATTATTTTTATAGCTCCCACTGTGAATGGTCTAAACTCTCCAACTAAAAAGACACAGATGGGAATAAAAAACAAAACTCATGGTATGCTGTATACAAGCAACACATTTAACCCAAAAAGAAATGTACAGACTAAAAGTCAAAGCACAAAAAACAATATTCCATGCAACAGGAGCCTGAAAACAGGCTCCCAGAAAGTGGAAAGATATCCTCTATTCCTGGGGAGGCAGAACCAATATTATTAAAATGGCAATACTTTCAAAACTGAGATAGATAGGTGGGCAATCAAAATATCAACAGCAGTCCTCACAGAGCTAGAGAAAACAATCCTGGAGCCGGGGAGATGGCTCAGTGGAATAAGCGCTTCCCTGGCAAGCACAAAGGCCTGAGTTCAATCCCGGGTTCTGCCAAAAAAAAAAAAAAGAAAAAGCAATCCTAAAATTCTTTCTTTCCCTAAAATTCTTATGCAACCAGAAGAAGCCCAGAATAGCAAAAGCAATACCAGCCAGCAAGAGAAAAACAGGTGCTATCACAACTCCATATTTCCAGTTATATTATAAAGCTACACTGATAAAACAGTGTGGTACTAGAACAAAAACAGACCTGTGAATCAGTGGAACAGAACAGAGGATTCAGAAACAAATCCAAGCACTTCATCATCTGATCTTTGACAAAGGAGCTACAATTCATACAGTAGAAGAATCACAGACTCTTTAGATAATGGTGCTGGAAAAACTGGCTCTTTACATTCCGCCAAAGATTGAATCCAGACCTAAGTCTCTCTCTCAACATGTACTAAAATGAGGAAAAAAATTTACCAGCTACATCCTGGCCAGAAGACTAGTGTTTAGAATACACACAAAAAATCCCAAAGATCCCCGAGGTCTCTGGGTCTGCTAGAAAAAATGCAAATCAAACACAAAGCTGAAATTCTATCTTACTCTAGAGGGAATGTTTGTTTGTTGCTGGTTTTGGCTTTTTTGAGACAGGGTCCCGCTATGTACTTCAGGCTGGCCTTGACCTCACTGTGTAGCCAAGCTAGCCTCGAGCTCATGATGATCCTCCTGCCTCAGCCTTTCGAGTTCTAGGATTTCTGTCAAGTGCCACCATATCCAACCAAGAATGACCATCATTAAGGAATCAAACAACAAATGCTGGTTAGGCTGCAAAGAAAAAGGAACCTTCTACATTGTTGGTGGGATTATACACTAGTACAATCACTACAGAAATCAGAATAGAGATTTCTCAAAAAACCAAAACTTGAAATTCCATTTGAACTAGTTGTTCCCCTTTTAGGTATATTCTAGAAAGCATTACAGACATGGTATTACAGTGATCCACGCGTACCCACATGGATAGCAGCATACCTCATAATAGCTAAATCTTGAACATAGACTCTGGGCCCATCAACAGATGAGTGGATAAAGAAAATGTGACATTTATACACAATAGATTACTTACTACTCTGCTATAAGAAAAGATAAATTTCAGCCATTTGTACGAAGACTGGATGTTACTTGAGGCCATAATGTTAAGTGCCATATTTCATTTGAGAAAGCCAAGTACAAGTAAATTGAAGAGCAAAATAGAAGACAGTTAATAGGAAATAGGGAGATAGATCTTTTGCAAATGGGAAGAGGACCAAGAATGGGGGAAGGGGAAAAGAGAGAAAGAGAATGTAAAAGAATGAAGACGTGCGTGCTATGTGTATGCCCAATACCCCACAGGAAACGTAATCATTATGTACTGCAATCAGTTACTAATAAAAAAAGATAAACCCCCCCAAACCAGGTATGGCAGCACATGCCTATAGCCCCAGTGCTCTGCAGGCTGATTGCCACAAGCTCAAAGCCAATTTGACTGCATACTGAATATTGAATTCAAAGCCAGCCTGACCTACACAGTGAGACCCTATCTCAACCTGCCTCCCCCAAATAATTCATCCAGCTTCTCAAGAGGCTGAAGCAGGTAGACCACTTGAGCCCAGGAGTCAAGGGCAGCCTGGGCAACATGGTGAGATCCCATCTCAAAAATAAATATAGATACGTTTAAATGCTCATATAGGCCGGGGAGATGGCTCAGAGGAATAAGCGCTTCCCTAGCAAGTGCAAAAGCCCAAGTTCAATCCTTGGTTCCGCAAAAAAAAAAAAAAAAAAAAACTTATAAATGTTCATATACTTAAAAGGTAGAAATTTTAGCCACAAAAATCCCAGAAACAAAGCAAAGGGATATTTTAACAAAGCTAAAATTCTCTACCTAGGATTTAAAAGCAACTACTGAAAGATAAAATGGAAGATATCAGTAAAGAATACATAAGAAAAAAATCTGATGGAGTTTGACTAGAAGCTTAACACCATAAAAGGAAATATCTAAAATGAGACTGAAAGACCCCTACTGTGAAATATACCTGAACTGGTTCATTCGGTTCATGGGGTCTGTTGTTTTTCTCTCTCTCTTTTTTTTTTTTTAAGATGGGGTCTCACTATGTAGCTCAGGCTGGTCTCAAATTCAGTGATACTCCTACCTCATCTTCTTGTAATCCCAAATGCTGGCATTAGAGGCATGTACTACCATGGCTGGCTGGGCTCTGATTTTAAAAGAAATACCAATGAAATAGAACATGCCTAGGCAAAAGCAACCAGGATGAGAGAACAGGAGGCTTAAAAAGATGTCATATGAAAAAAGAATACTAAACCAGGAATGGGAATTCCTGGATGGAATGTTTCACCTGGACGGGTTTGGACAGGACGAGTTAAGAAGGGGAATTAATGGGTCGGGGATATAGCTCATAAGCAGCTGCCTGGCAAGTGCAAGGTCCTGAGCTCAATCCCCGGCACCAAAAACCGCGCCAACTTCATATAGCTGGGTAGGGATGGTGCACACCTGTAATCCCAGCATCCTGGGAGGCTGAAGCAGGAGGCTCAGAAGCTCAAACTCAACAATTTAGGAGACTAAAATAAAAACTATTTTTAAAAAAGGATGGAAGGGCCGGCCCGATAGCTCAGCTGTGGCTGGGATTTGCCACCCGGTGTTCCGTGCCAGGGATCTGAAAACAGCAGGGGCTGAAAACATGAGAATCACGCTGAGTCAGATCTATGTAGTGAGACCCTGTAGACCCTGTACTAAATACATAAAAGATA